GGGGAGCAGTGGGGCAGCTGTGTGAGTCACCTGCTCTGTTCTGGTTCTCCTTGCTCAGGGCAGCCTGCCCCGCCCCTAGGAAGCAGCAGGGTATCTGCCCCCAAGGCAGAACTGGAGGCCCCAGAGAAGAAGCTGTGTGGAGGCGAGCCTGAACTCCACAGACCAGCCCCTGACAGAGCTGTCCAACTAGGCGAAGCCGAGTTTCCTGCCACTAGCAGTAAACAGTTGCAGGCCAAACTGCCACCTTCCAGAATGTGGCCCGAGAACTCCCTGCACCCTGGGTAGAGAAAGCCTCGTGCTGGAGAACACCTGGTAATTAACTCGCGGTAAGCACCAAGCACCTGCTCTACCAGGGTCTGCTCCAGGACCCGTCTTCACAACGACCCTGCAAGGTAGGAGTCAACAGCCCCATTTTACAGTTGCTTAGAGAGGGTGAGTGGCTTACCCAAGGCCACACAGCGTAGCCTGCGTCCAGCTGTCTCCGTGCCTATGCTGCATCAGACTTGAAGTTCATCACGCTCGTGGGAAGCAAAGTTGGGAGGTCTCTTACTCACAGTAACAAAACCTACTGTGACTTGTGGGAAGTTCGTTACCTGCCAGACACTCTCCCGTGAGCCATTCAGAAGTTACTACTCAACGCCACCCAATCGTCTTTCCGTTTGCCCTCCGAAGGCACCGGCCTCCAGAGCTGAGGTGTTCGCCTAGGGCCACAGCTAGCCAGGGGGCAGCCCGGGCTGACTGGGAGCTTGGGCTCTGCTGCATTTCTTTGCGATACCCACAGCAGAGGGGAGAGGAGAGGTGGAGGGAGGGGAAGGGGAAGCCGGGATAGCCTGGGGAGGCCACGTGAAAGACAGGGCTGGTGGAAGCCACAGCCTGGCTGGAGGGTGGAGCAGTTATCCCACCTCGAGTGGTGTGCATGGCTGGCTGTGTGACTTTAGTCTGGTCACCGCCCTTCTCTGAATTTAGGATAGGCCACGATTTAAAGCAGAGCTCTAAGTCCAGCAGGATGAAAGGACAGTTTGGGAAACGGAGGCAAGCAGAATTAGAAAATGACAGTGACTCCAGAAGCCCAGTCCCTCCCAGGCTCATTCACCAGTGTCCCAGCTAGGAGTGCTAGTAATCCTCCCGGCAGGGACGCTCAGAGATGGTCTCCCACCACCTGCGGAGCACTTGTCCCCACTCCAGAGCAGGAGCTGGGAAGGTCCGTGGGAGCTGCCGTCTCTGCCTCCTGTACTCTCAGACCCCAGCTGCATGCTTTGCCTTCTTCCAACCAGGACCTACCTACGAGGGGCTGGATTTCCAACCAGTTTACCCTCCAGGTCTCCTTCATCCATTTGTTTTTTCATTCGACACACACTTACTGGGCACCAGCAATGCACCCATTCCCAAGCTAGGCACTTGCAAGTCCAGAACTCTCGCTACTCTGGGATGGGCTCATCACCCCCATGCCCACAGGGAGGGAACGCAATTCAGCCATGCTCATCCGCGGAAGAGGCGGGTCTTAGCCTGCACAGGGACAATCTCTCGTCCCCGCCCGTGCCCCTGCTGCCGGCCCTGGCTCGCTGTGTCTGAAGGTCCTGGATTTCCCACCGTCCTGGCACCTGTCACAGTTTAACAGGTTACCATGGTATCGCTCCCCAGCACCCGGGCAGCGGGGACCACCATCTGTTTACACGACTGTCAGAGGAATTGATGGCATGCGAAATTGTCAGCTCCGCGGGTGGGAGGAGGAAGAGTGGGCGGCTCTGAAAGCATCCGAGCCATCAACACTCATCTCCATCAAAGCCCTGAGCAAGTCGCTGCTCCCCTGGGGGAACGGGCAAAGGGGGAGCTGAGAACTGGTCCTGAGAGGAAGAAGCAGGGAGCAGTAGTGTGGGTCGGCTTCCTCTTCCCAGCGCTAGTCCTTGTGGTCACGAGCCCACAGCCCTGGGGGCTGAGCGTAGCGACGTAGGGCCCAACAGGGAAGCTCCCTGACCCTCAGGCTAGGAGGCTGGGGTCACTCTGGCCATCCTGTCCCAGGTGGATGTGCCCAGGAAGCACACGCACTTCCCACTTTCTGCAGGTGCGGTCCACAGCACCCGTTTCTGATCACAGACGTGACACAAGCGAGGCCGCAGGAAGGGACGGAGCTGCTGGTGGGCGCCCAGGGCAAGCTCTTGAGGAGACAACGCAGTGTCTCTGGAAACGTAGCCGGGGGAGGGTGGAAATCTGTTACTCAGCACTCAGCGACCGTCCCTCCCTCTCCTTAACAGCCTGCTGACTCCTCTGGGAACTCAGTGCTCTAGTCTGGCTCCCCAGGCTGGAGAGGCTGACCCACTCCCAGAAGGCAGGGATCTAATCCAGTGGGTATAGATCTACCCCAACCACTGCGATTGGCTCAGGCATAGGCATGTGACCCAAGACCAGCCAATGAGAGTCAGGAGAGAGAATCTTTCCCTTCTGCTGGGAGAGTAGCAGGCAGGAACCCAGCTGCCATTTTGCCCCCAGGAGGGCGGAGCTGCATGAGAAGGGAGCCAGCATCAGGGAAGAGGCCAGGAAGGTGAGGACAGATCTCCTCTGGCTTCAACCAATCCTGATGCAGAGTCTACTACACTTACATCATCTGGTATATAATCCCCTTTTATTTAAATTTTGCACAGGGCACAAGCACTCGTCTGAGAGAGAGAGACAGAGTGATAGGGAACATGAGAAAGCACCTCCCTGGGAAAGTCACGTGGCAATCCCTTCTCTGTCTCTCCCTCCTTTTAGGATTCTGGGCACACACACACACGTGCACCCACCCAGTTTGTTATTCTTTTTGTTTTCTTTCATTTAAAACAAAATCGCTTAATTTTATTTATTCTCCTGTTTGTTTGTTTGTTTATTTGACCAGAGAGAGAGGAAAAGTGAGAAAACAAGCTACCCACCAAGCCACCTGCCACTCCCCTCCCCTTCTCACACCCCCTCCCCCTTTGTTTTTCAAGCCACCGGGGCCAAGACTCGAACTGTGCAGTCAGCCATGTGGGCTCCAGCCACTTTAACCACCATGCCAATGGCTGGCCCTACATTTCCCATTTTGCTGAGAGAACTGAGTTGGATTTTCTGTCATTTGTACCTGAAATAGTCCCGGTGGTTGACCCCAACTATTTCAGGAAGGGAACCCTTTGAGGTTAGGAGGACCCGGGGAAGGGGCTGCCTGGGGGGCAGTGAGCCCCAGGGCAAGTAGCAGTGCAGGAGATGCCCGCGGAGGAGTGGGAAGCTGCACCAGGGACCGCATTGCCAGAGTGCCCTTCCTCACCCTTTTCTGTGCAGACTCAGCCTCACCCCCACAGAAATTGTGGCCAAGGACTTAGAAAAAACACAATCAGAAGGGACCCGCGGTATTAGCCTGCTTCCGTGGCTCACTGGTCCCCAGCTAGCCTACGTATTACAAAGGTTGTGGCCTTGGGCAAATCCTGTTTCCTCACTGGTCCTCAGCCTTCCCATCTGCAAAGGACGGACTCTTGTGCAGCTCCCTGGTGAGGACAGGGAGGTGGTGGGCAGACAGGACCCGATTGACGTGCGCTGTGGTAGGGTCAGGAAGGCTTTGGCGTCTCAGCCCTCACTGCGTGGGGAGTCATAGCTCCCATTCTTAAATAAGCAAGGGTTTGGGGTGGGGAGTTCTTCTATCTTTAAAACATATCTTTTTTAAAAAGAATTATTTACTTAATTTTATTTATTTTTATTTTAATTTGCTATGGGGCATGCCCGCTCACTAGAGAGAGACAAAGAGAGAGGGAAAGTGAGAAAGCCAGCTGCCAGGTCGGGGACTCAAACCATAGTCAGCCATGTGGGAGTCGAGCGCCTTAACCACCACACCACTTGTTTGCCCCATCTATCTTTCCTTCTTAAAGGTGCACACTAAAGTATTTATGGATGAAATGATGCGATGTCCAGGATTTGCGTTAGAGCAGCATGGAAAAGAGAAGGTGGATAAGGTTGAGATGAACACGACCAGCCAGGAGCTGTTAAACTTGGGGTGATGGACACGTGAGGGTTTATTATTCTATTTCTCTGCTTCTGTGTAGGTCTGTAATAAAATGTGAGAAATACAAATAAAGTCCCTACTGGGGCCAGACGGCGGCGTGGTGGCTAAGGTGGCCAGATCTCACGTGCCTAACTGTCAGTTTGAGTCCCAAACCTAGCGGTTTGAAAAATATATGCTGGACATGTGTGCTGCGTGCCCCAAGTCCTGCAGGAGGGAGGCCTAGGGGAGGACGTGGGGCCCTCTCCCTCTCTCTCCCTCTCTCTCCCTCTCTCTCTCTCCCTCTCTCCCTCTCTCTCTCTCTCTCTCTCTCTCTCTCTCTCTCTCTCTCTCTCTCTCTCTCTCTCTCTCTCTCTCTCTCTCTCTCTCTCTCTCTCTCTCTCTCTCTCTCTCTCTCTCTCTCTCTCTCTCTCTCTCTCTCTCTCTCTCTCTCTCTCTCTCTCTCTCTCTCTCTCTCCCCCACTAGAGCATGCACCCTCTAGCAAATTATAAATCAATCAGTCCTCCACTGTCAGCAGGGATGCTCTGACAGGTTTCAGCGTGCGGCCTAAAACCTGGGACAGGCACAGCCAGGGGGCGGTGGGAAGAAGCGGGCCAGAAAGATCCAGAAATATCAGGAAGTCATTGATTTGCCTGACTTGTCCTCCCTGGCTTCCGAGGAAGATGAGGCAAGGCAGAAAGCAAAGCTGTTTACATCTTCATTGAAGAGAAGGGAGAATTTTGCAGAGGTTAGTGGGGGAGTGTGTGTGTGGCAGCGATGCCCCCACAACCAGAAAGGCCTCCACCCTGACAGCTGAGTCCCGAGTGCCGTGGGTACTGCAGAAGCACCAGTCCACGTGTAAGAGGGCAGGGACTGGGAAGGCCCAGGACTGGGGGGGGCCCCACGGTGACCCAGGGCACCAACGCCCACTGCCACAGCCCCCACCCCCAGAGGCTTTGGCCAGATCTAAGAATGCCACCTTTCCCTCACACCAGGAACTGGGCTGTCCGCAGTGACTGGTCTGCCAGCTGGCATGCGGGTTGGGACTTAGAGCGACTGAAAGAAAACAAGGAACGGTGAGCATGTGACCCCCGAAACGGAAGGCTCTGAGGACCATGGGCACCTCCTCTCACCTCCTGAGACTCAGTCTCTTCCTCTGTGAAATGAGAGTAGGGACCGAGATGAAGGGGTGCGGGGGTGGGGATGAGGCTGCTTCACCTGTGCCGGTCCAGGGCAGGCTGTACTTCAGCTTCCTCCTCTTCGCCCATCCCAACCACCCCACTTCCCTGCTTTGGGAAAAAAGCCACAAAAATGGAACTGTAATTAATATGCAGTCAGCAGAAGCTAATTAAGAATTTGTTTTTGCTCCTTGATTAAATGACAGTTTAAAGTCTGGTTTCTCATTTTCTTGGTTGGCTACACAGAGTCCCCTGGAGTCTTCCACACACAGTCAGGAGGCCCCTGTGAGACCCACGAGCAGGAATAAGTCATTTCAGGAGCCGGGTGCCCATCCAGCACCATCCGTCGGCCACCCGGGAGGATGAGCTGGCACGGACGGCTCTCCACGTCCTCCAGACTGGCTCCTCTCCCGAGCTCTCCGGTTCAGACGATGGGCCCTGTCCCTCTGGAGTCACCCCCATCACCTCCAATCCTTATAACTCCCCAGCCCGCCCTGCACTCAGGCTGCTGGCTCCATCCGCCCCTGCCGCTGCTTCTCCTCTCCACTCCCCTGCCCCTCCCAGCTCAGTCCACCATCTTCTCTTACCCAGAGCCTTCTCATCGCTCTCCTGCCTCCCCTCGTCCCCCTCCTCTCTCCACATGACAGCCTCGGTTTTTCCAAATATAAAGCAGAATGTTTAAAATATTCATTGAAACCTTTCCATGGCTTTGTATTAGGCTTAAAATAGAAATCCACTCCTAGCCCTGCAGACCGGCATCACCCAGCCCCGGCCTGGGCTCCCCTCTCTCCTCCCTGGCCATCGTCCCCCTGCTCATCCAGCGTCAGCCCCTCTGGCCATCTTCCTGTCTCTTCAACTGCTGCACTAAGAGGTCTCTACTTCCAAGGCCTTCGTATCTCCCCCTGGCTGTCTCCTTAGATGCCACCTCGTCAGAGAAGCTCTTCCCAGTCACCCCAGCTGAAGTATCTCATCACCCCCGGAACTCTGTTACGTGAATGAATCAAAATCGGCCCCATATATTGGCCCTTAGGAGATTTCTCATGGCAGGCTGAGACCAATTGGTTCAAGAGCCCACCAATGGCAAACTCGGCCTTTTGTACATCTGCTTGTTTTCAAAATAGGCCAGGCAAAGGCGTGGTGGCACCTGCCCTCTGGTAAAATAGGCCAAGCAGGCAGAATGTCAGTCCTTTAAGGCTTGCTAACTTTGCGTGCTCCAGCAAACTACACCCCACGGCTGCAGGCCATTGGTAAAATGGAGTTTGTGGTGTCAAGACTCCAGGGTGCTACTGCTCTCTAGAGCAGCCCACTGCGATGATGAGCAGCACCAACCAGACGTGGAAGGCCCACGTGCAGCCCCTGGCCCAGGAGTGCCCTTGCCCTCCACCCCTGTTGTGTAACAACCCTTTCACCATCAGCTTCCACGCGGTCTCACACTACAAGGGACTTACAACCCTATCCAGGCACCGGTCAGGAGAGACTGCTGGGTGTTACTCTCTCTTATGGCCAAGCCTTTTCCTGATCAGCTCCCAGATCCCTTGAAGCCCCTGCACTCTTTTTTTTTCCTTTTAGAATTATTTACTGATTTAATTGTATTTGTTATTTTATTATTATTATTATTATTATTATTAGAGAGATTTTTTTTAGCTATAGAGCATGTGCACTCGCCAGAAAGACAGAGAGAGACAGCAAGCGAGAAATCACCCCCCAGGGAGGATGGCCACACCACAATCCCTTCTCCTCCATTCTCCTCTCGGGATCTTGGGCACGCATGCACATGCACCCGACATGAGTTTAAGCCACTGGGTCCAGGACTCAAACCGCAGTCAACTATATGGGAGTCCAGTGACACAGCCATTACGCCAACTGCTGGTCCCCAGTTATTATTAATTTTGTAATTTGACCAGCAAGAGACAGAGGGAGAGAAAAGGAAAGTGAAAAAGCAAGCCACCAGCACCAAGACTCAAATCGTGGTCAGCCATGTGGGAGTCCAGTGCCTTAACCAGCACGCCGCCTGGGGCCCAGCCCCTGCATGCTTTATGCACTGCCCTGCATTATTTGCATCCTAACACAAAGTGCTCTCCGAGGTTATCTGGTTATTTTTTTTATTTTTTTCCCTCATTAGAATGTAGTCCATGTAATCAGTCATTAAGTCTATGAAAAAGATACTTTCTCTCACTAGTAACCCAAAAAAATCTCAAAGTAAAGCAAGACATATCATTTTCATACAAGGTGGTATAGTTCTGCAGTTAGACGATGACAAATATGGCAACAGTGTGGGGACAAAGGGATACGCTCATACCCAGCCAGTGGGAGTACGAACTGGCTCATCTTGGAGGGCCATTAAAAACTTAAAATACACATAGCTTATGGTCAAGCAATTCTGCTTCTCAGTATACAGCCTGGAGAAGCATGTCCACATTTTCACAGGGAGAGATATTAGTAAACAAATGAAAGAGGAATTGCATTACCAGGAAGATGTGCTTTCCCTATTCTTTCTGTAAGTAAAACTGAAAACCCTGGGATTCCATACGAAACACACATCCAAAGTCTCTGAAAGGTGAACGGCATGGCAGGGGGGCTAGGCATCTCAGGGCTCAACAACACAGGGTTGCGGTCTGTGGAGGATTCGGGTCTTTGGTTTGGTTTGGTTTTTCTTTTGCTTCATATGTCCCGGACTTGGGGCTGAAGAATCCAGCAACCAAGAAATGCCAGTGGGCACAGAAAAAGGTCCAGCAGGAGCCCGTGCCCTCTACACACAAGAGGACCAGGAAGATGCAACCTAGAAGGACACACGATTGGGTGATAACCGCCCTGTTCCATGAAAGTGGCACTCCCCTCAGCTCCACAAGCAAAGGCCAACCGGAAAGTCCAGATCTCTGTTCCACCGGGTAACAAGCTGTCCCTGCCCCAGGCCCCACTCCCACACCTGTGGTATCAGCCAGTCATGTGGGGAGCAGTCACAAGGCACCCCACCCTCTCAACCAAGTAATTATAAGTGGGGGCCACCCCGCCCAGGAGTTAGGAAGTTTCTTCCACCGAGGTGTCAAGGAGGCCAGGTGGGGGCCTGCGACTACCCCCGTCTGGCAGTAACAAAGCAGCAAGAGCAGCTTCAAGAAGCCAAATAAGACACGCCCGAATAAGAAGCAGTCTTGTAACATATGATGAAACCTAGGCTAAAATGTCCAGGTTTCAAGCAAATCATTTCTTATATCAAGAACCAGGAAGAGGGTCCGCCAGAGGCATGGTTATGGCATCTAGACCCCACATGACCAACTGCACAGTTCAAGTCCAGGGCCCAGTGGCTTGAAAAACACACTGGGCATGTGTGCCTGAGTGCCCAAAATCCACAGAGGAGGGTGGAGGAGAAGGGATTGCAGTGTGGCCACCCTCCCGGGCGGTGGTTTCTCACTTTCCTTCTCACTGTCTCTCTCTGGTGAATGCATGCACCCTATGGCAAAAAATTTAAATTAAAAAAAATTTTTAAGCAGCCACGTTAAAATTGCTTCAATAAACAGTCACAAACCTGCTTGAGCAAATAAAAAAAATAAAAAATAAAACTAAACTAGAAATAAAGCAAAGAAATAGAAAGTTTTGGGACCAGCAGGTGGCATGGTGATTAAGGACAATGGACTCCCACATGGCCAACCACGGTTCAAGTCCCAGACCTGGCGTCTTGCTTTCTCACTTTCTCTCTCTCGCTTTCTCTGTCCTTCTCTGTTTAAATTTAAAAAGTAAATAAATAAATAAAGTTAATAAAATAATTCTTTAAAAAAAAGAAATAGAAAGTGTCAGCAAAGAGATATAAAAATATAAAGATTCTAATAGAAATTTTAGAGCTGGAAAATACAATAACTGAAAAAGAAAAGAAAAAAAAAAAAAAAGGCGACTCTGGCCCCGCCAGAATGGCACCGGGGTAGGGCACTACAGTGAAATATGAAGCTGCGTGGAAACCCAGGCTCAGGTTCCGGGTCCGTCTGCGCATGTGGCACACCACGCACTCCCGTGAGCAGCTGTGCTTCTGGCTGGCTGGGAGCTGGAGGGAGGATCGTAGCATGGTGAGATTTTGTCACAGCTCTCGCTCTCTCTCTCTCGCTCTCTCTCTCTCTCTCCCTCCCTCCTTCTCTCCCTCTCTCTCTCTCTCTCTCTCAATAAATAAATAAATAAACGTTAAAAAATGCAACGGGTGGGCTCAACAGTAGAATGGAGAGGACACAGGAAGAATTCAAGAACTTGAAAATGAAACAGTAGAAGTTACCCAGTGTGACAACAGAGAGAAAATAGAAAAGTAATTAGTGGCACCTCAGAGAATCATGAGACTACAACAAAGACTAACATTCATGTTGTCAGAGACCAGAAGGAAAGAGAAAAGGGAACATGGTTAAAAACATACTCAAAGAAATGATACCTGAAAGTTTCCTAGATTTGCCAATGGACATAAACCTACAGATTCAAGAAGCTGACTGAAATACATAAATAAATTTACACCAAGACATATCATTGTGAAACTTCTTTTTTTTTTTTTTTTTGAGAGGTTTTTTCGCTATAGGGCACGTGTGCTCGCCAGACAGACAGAGAGAGACAGAGAGACAGAAAGCGAGAAAGCGCCCCCCCAGGGGGATGCTCACACCAGAAAGAAGCCCAGCTCCTCCATTCTCCTCTCAGGATCTTGGGCACGCATGCACACACACCCGGCGTGAGTTTCGAGCCACGGGGTCCAGGACGCAAACCATGGTCAACTACGTGGGAGTCCAGTGACATAGCCATTACGCTAACTGCTGGTTCCCTCATTGTGAAACTTCTGAAAACCAAAGACAAACAATTATTGAAAGCAGATAGAGAGAAATGGCACTTTACATATAGAAGAAAAATAATTGGAATGACAGTAGATTTCTCATCAGAAACCATGAGTACCAGAAGGAAGTGGAACAAGTTTTCAAGCCCTGAAAGAAAGAAAAAAAAAAAAAAAAAAAAAAAAACCTACATACATTTAAAGTATTCCTTGGGCCAGCAGATGGTGTGGAGGTTAAAGCACTAGATCCCTCATGGCCAACCATGAGGTTTGAGTCTGAGACCTGGTGCCTTGTGAAACACGCCAGGCACATGTGCATGTGCCTAGAATCCCAAGAGAAGAATGGAGGAGGACAGATTGTGGCATGGCCAGACTTCCTCAGGGGCGATTTCTCACTTATCTCTCTCTGGCAGGCACACATACCCTGCAACAAAAACCAACATCAACAACAACAAAAATTCCTTGAGCTGGTCCCATAGCCTCATGGTTAAGGGAGCTCAATCCCACATGGCCGACTGTAGTTCCAATCTCTGCCCTGGCAGTTTGAAAAACATACCAGGTGCATGTGCATGCATGGCCAAAATCCTGACAGGATGGAGAAATGGAGGAGAAGGAATTGTGGAGTGACCACACTCCATTGGGGGCTCCTTTTGTCTTTATCTCTCCCTCTCTCTGTCTCTCTGTCTCTCTCTATGGAGAGCACATGCACCCTCTGGCAATTGAAAAAATGCATATATTCTTCAAAAATGAAGGGAATATCATGACTTTCTCAGAAAGAGGAAAGTTGAAAGTGCTACCAGCTCAACTATCCTAAAATAATAACCAAATAAAGTTCT